AAAAAAAAAAAAAGAAAAAAGAAAAAGAAAAAGAAAACCTTTTTTGTTTTTTTTGTCAATTTGGATATATATCGTGATATCCTTCTTCCTGAGGCTCATGTCGCTCATATTCGTCCTCTCGGTTTGTCTCTGCAGTGGTTGCTCCTTCCCTTGCAGGTGTTGGATCAATACGGCTAAGTGCTGTTAATCCCCGCATCCAGTTATACCCTCTAGAGACCATACTCCACGTTCGCTTCTGTGTATCGTGGGTCAAGTCTTTAAACCACGTTTGACCTCTCGATCGCCTCACACGATCACAGAATAATTTCTTGCATGTCTCTTCTGCCGCATCACGCATGAAAATTGTCTGCATTAGGGTAGTAAGCGCCTCTGGTGAAGAAACACCATCTAAAGCTCCACGAAGTACAACGTGGGAAAGCAGATGATACAGAATTCCCGCGTAGGGACGCACCTCAAGAAACCAGTCTGCAGTTTCCATCAGAAACTCTGAAAGAAGTGCACTAGGCTCTCCTTTATGTGCTGATATTCCCTCTGACTCGGGGCTCATCTGCTGACCGTATTGCCGCTCTTCTTGTCGTTTATTTTCATACTGTTGTTGCTGTTGTTGTTGTTGCGTCTTCATAGAGGAGAATGGTGGTGATAATGAATCTCTTTCTCGCATGAATTCCAACACACATTCCTCTAGATCCTTATCGAAACGCACATAGCCTTCAATAACACGTTCTGCTAACGTTCTTGAGTTAAGTAGCATACCATAATCAATGTGAAATATAGCTCCACTTGGGTGTACCATAACATTGTCACGATGCCGATCACCAATAGCAAAAATGTAATTAGTTAGAATAAAAAATTTTGCTGAGCAAAGAAAACTTTCCCTAACCCCAGTAAAAAATTTCTTTAAATCCTGTTTCACACTTCCACGGTGTCCTTCCCCTTCAACATCTTTAACTTCTTGTTGTTGTTGTTGTTGCTTTTTTCTTTCTTGTTTTTGTCGTCGTTCTAATTGTATTAGATGTTGCAATAACCGATGATCTCTGTACTTTGTAATAACTTGTTGAACAGTTTGTCCATCCTCTACAAACTCAATAATACCAGAATTAAATGTAAGTGGTATAGCATGATACGTGGGCAAAACAACATGGCCCAACTGCTTGTAAAGTACCCATTGCAAAAATCTTGACATAATACACATAACTTTATCCTTTTCAAGATTTTCTCTTTTGAAAAGAATTTTATGTTTAACGCCTTCTGAATCAATAAGAGGAATCAAAAGAGGTTGTAGATTCGAGTTCATCTTTATAATTTCATTTATTCCTATGTGAGTAATCAATATACTGACGTCAAATGGAAAGAGCATAGGGGCTATAGGAACAGGACTACAACTATCTGTAAAATATTTCTGAGGTACTGGTACATCTGCCGTCACTAATTTAGCATCACGCATACGTTCATGGAACTCTCTACGTATATCTGCTACGTTGAGTTGTTTCGTGTAAAGATCCCATGTTCTCAAGAGATTAAGAAAGGCAAGAGTATTCTTAAACCACTGGTGTTTCTGGGGTCGAATCGTTTTGTCTACAATCATTACGTGTTCCCGGAGTGTATGATAACTTAAGTTATCACGCTGAGAACGTGTTAAAGTTTCTTGATATATCACAAGTGCTAAACCTTGATCTAGTTTAGCAATTTCCATTAATACGGACGTTGCAAAGGATTCACATGACTTCATATCAAATGCATCTAATAAGAGTGGAACTAGAGACTCACAGACGCGATGATCAAGGGATGCAACCGTATCTAGCAAAATTGACTGTGTTATCATAATTCGCATAGACTTAGCAGTAGTATTATCTATTGGGGCACGGTCTAAACACTTCAGCATCTTCACTGCAAAGAACTGCGGTAGCATTAATCCACATGCACGTGTACACAACATGTGCCAATGACTTGTGTGTGGTCGCCAAAAAGATGCACCGGGGTGTCTCATATCTGAAGGGCCCGTCACATTCATTACTGTTGTTTTAACTGCAGTGTAGGCTGCCTCCAGTAGTGATTCATTATTCCAGTCAATAGAAATAAAGAGAAAAAGAAGTGCCTCAGGGTGACCACTAAGGGAATTTACACTATTTGCCAACATTCTTGAAGTATGTGTTGCCACTACAGAATTACAAGAAGTATTCTGGTAGAGTGAAGAACGATAGTCACTGAGGCATAACTCGGCGGCCCCTTTCCATTGTGCATTAATAGACCTCAGGAGAGCTATTTCAGTTAGTGAGAGTCCAGAACGTAGAAATATCTCGCAAAGAAACGCATGTATATTGAGTCTCTCTGCTTTATCATAGCAGTGTTTACAGACACGCCGCATTCGACCCTCCTCCGGCCCACCAGGCTTACTCAGTCTCGCAATGGATCTATCCAACTCCCACGCCGTACACTGTGTACAGATACGACGCCCACAACATCTGCAATGACTTGCACGCACCGCATTAAAAGAAAACGTTGACCACGACGCGAAGGTACCACCACAGACGGGGCACTTCTTTACGGCTTCATCCGCCTCCCACGCGGGGTTCTGAAATGGATGTCGTGCAAACTCTGTGGCGAATTCCTCATCAAAACAAGATTTATCATATACAACAGTTATACCTGGATCAACAGATTGTGTTAAATCATCAACGTATTGTGTGGTTGGAAAGAAGTAACGGTCTTCACGTAACTGTTTACTCCACCGCTGTGCCCAGGAAACGACCATGTTGTTTCGATCATCCGTTATTCCCGCTCCCTGGATCAACGGCTGTTGCTGTAGTTGTAGTATATCTTCTACTCGGACCAAAGAAGAAGTGGTATCTAAGGCAAAAGCAGCTATCACACACCTCCGGAAAGAATCAATTTTAAACAAATCAATGGAGTACCCTTCATGCACACAAGATAACCTAACATTGCATTTTTGTCTAACCTCCTCTTCAAAAATACGCCCAAATTCTGTACAGAAAAAGGGAAGTAAACTCTCCAATTCCAGTCGAGCAACAAGTTCTAATACTTCCATAAACATTTTCCGATTCTCTGTAAGACGACGTATGTGAGCACAGAGTTCGGGCATCTTATTCATCTCCTCCTGTTGTGTAGGGAGGTTAGTAGCTGATACCGCAGGTTCCGTTACTACAGCATCACAAGGTGCAGAATTTGACTTTACATCTTTTTGGTGATACTTTCTGGAAGTCAAAAAAAGAGAACGCTGTGACATCGTCTCATTCTGATAAAGTGTCATCGTTTCCTTTAGCAGCCGTACGGATTCTGCAGTGCCAAAGGAAAGGCACACAGTTGGTCTTAAGAGCAGCTGAAAAAGATAGACGCTATCAGCACAGTCCAGCGAACACCTCGTACCATCACCAAAAATAACATCAACAGCAAGCATATCAAAGTCATGGGATTCATTGGTCATGCTTCCCCTACCACGCATCTTCAATAAAAATTGACTCTATTACACACAAAATATATATATATATATATATATAT